AATTGTTCAAAAAAATTTATAAACTAATAAAATTATAATAGAAATGTGTGACTTTGACAAAATGACAAGAAATAACCTCAAATAAGTATGTAGAATTGAAGGATCCGTTACTGATCATAAAAAATAAAAATTGTAATTTTTTCCTTTGGATACCATGGACCGTCAAGCCAACAAACCAATTTGCACGCATACCTTGAAACTTATTCTCATTGACATTTAACAGTGGATCCAACTTTAACTTTAGTTTGTAATTAGTAATAATTGGAATTTTCTAACATGTGTCATTGGAGCACATGTTAAACTTCATTTATATTGTAATATCTATAATTAATTTTATATAAATTTTTATATAATATTTAAATAAAATATATAAAATAATATAATATTTTATTTTATCTCAAATTTTATTAAAAAAATGAATCAAATATATAAATTTACATAAAATTAATTAAAAATATTGTAATTAATAATTCTTAATATGTGCTCTTAATATATAAATTACATAAACCCTTATTAATTAAAGGGAAAAAAAAAAGATTAAGACATTCTCACATTTTTAATGTCACAATGTTTAATAATAATCACATAATAAATTTAATAAAGTTAAAATTTACACTATATCTCATATATTTAATAGCAATAATTAGACATTTTGACATTTTTAATAACAAGACATCTTAATTTTTTTTCTATTAATAAATTAAATATATTTTTTTTATGGAAAATAGGGTCTTCATCAAAATACAGTTGTGTGTACCAGTCTCATAAAAGCTTTTGACAGGGAAAAAACAGAACAGACGAATTACCGCCACCAAACCCAAGTATGCAGCTTCACTTGTAGAATGGGATTAAGCTGAAAGTTACAGATAAAGCCCAATGAAAAATCAATCCTGTGCAATACCCCTGTTAGACTTGGTTATTAATGGATCAATACAAAAGGGCTATACCCTGAGCCCTCAACATACTTCTAAGCAAAAAGATAGAGCTTATTCTAGACAACAATGAATGAAACTTAATTTTTTTTTTCAGGGTAATAATCATCATTAGCAACACCAATATATTTTCACTAGCAAAAGATAAACTGTTTGGTGGACCACAAATGTAATGTACAACACAAATAGCTCACACATATCTGCTAGCAATGATTGAGCTCAAATAAAGAAATAGGAATATCATTGTGACTCTGCATATAAATTCAATGCACAACATGCATATATTATCCCAACCATACTTTCCACATAAAGTTGCGGGTGATATGATGCACCTTTTGGGACATGATGTAGAGTTTGATCCGAGCATATTACAAGTTGTGGGGGTGTGATGCTGCCTGAAGATTTTTCACGGCACTGTCATAGTGCACAAAGCCTTGGAACCAAAATTCATGGTTGTCGACAGAAATAACCTGGATGTACTTCTCAGTTGGCTTGGTTCTGCTTGTCGATGGGTTGACTGCCCTCAGCTGATGTAATGGAATAACCACCTGTTTTTCATGGGAGAGAAAGTCGATGACCATGAAAATCAGATAAAGAGACATGCACATGGTTGCCTACCAAGATGAAAGAGTATCTGCCTAAAAAGGAAATAGTATGCAGTGTCCATCAAATTATGACTGTAATTCACTAAAAACTCCCAAGTCCAACTGAAAAATAGGGGCTTAAAAAACAATGTCCTTATTATAATTCTTAAGATATTGTTAGGATAATTCTAATTAGGCAAGATTGTTTTAGCTTCCATATATCAAGGGTTATAAAATTTCCATCACCAACTCCAAGGTGTTTACTAGAAATACTGGGAAACAAAAAATGAAAAAGGATAATACAACGAGCAATGATAAACAACTCTATGGAACCCCAATATTTAGGTAATTGATGGGCTAATAATAAAAAGGAGTAATTAATCTGAATAAGGAAGATTCAGTTAACAATTTAACATGGCAATCTTTAGTTTCAGTTTAAAATAGACAGGAGATTATCAATCAATATCATATTGTGCTTTAACGTAATGGATCAACTACCACATCAAACCTTGATGTGCTGCCATTAAACCAACAAGGGTCCAAGGTCAAATTAGCACCTAGAGAGTTGGTTAACTAATTAACCTTAAGCACTCTAATGTAACTAAATTCCTAGCCTAGTTAGCACAAGTCAAAAATAGTATAACCATCTCAATCAAAAAAGGTGAAATGAGAAGTCCGGGCAACAATCTTAAAAGTTCATGGCCACTAGCCTCATGAGGAGATAAGGGAATTCATAATCCATGCCCTATTTGCGTGACAAGATAATGGATAACACTTATACCAGAAAACACTCCTAGGCATTTACAATGGGTCCAAGCATGGTACAAAATCTTGAGACTGCTTCAGATGCAATGCAACCAATTAAGATAGACAACACATACCTTATAATAGCTCCACTTTGTCTCTTCACCAACGTTGTAAGACAGAGGATTATCACTACAAAAAGCAAGTTTGGCTGTTGACAAATATAGAACTCCCATAACCGGACCAGCAGAGGTCGAAAGATAGCAAGCATATGTCTTCAGAAGCTTCTCCTCAGGAACCGAATCAAATGTTTGTCTAAAGATCTTCTCGTAACCACCCTCAGCAAGCACTTTAGTGCTCTGAGCAATTCTCCCCACAGCAGCATCAGCAAAACTAGGGCCAGTTTTCACTGGTTCAAGAAAGAACTGATTTTTAAGTTCCAGAAACTCAACTTGATTGTTCATGCTACAATTACAATTGAAGGGAGAAATTCCATTGTGCTTCATGCAAAGATTTTCAACACATATATTCATAAGGAAACTTAAAATTTCAGAGTTGCATCCAAGATACTCAGAACCAAAAATGAAATTACAGATAAAAAGAGAAAGGCCTACAGTGTTGCCACATGTTTCCGGCAAGATCCTCAGCCTTCTTGGTGGCCTCCGCTGCTTTCTTTCCCCATTTCCCTAGCACATCCTTCACTGAATCAACCTTACCTGCTCAAAACAAAGCAAACTTAAAATCTCTCCAATCTTAAAAAATCAAACAAGATGAATGAGCTATGTACACGAACTGCTTACTCTTTGATTGAACCGGAGAAGGAGAGACATAGGGATTGGACTCAACCGGCATGGTGGTGGCAGCACTGCCTTGGATCGGAGCTGGACCAGTACTCGGCTGCGATTCGGTGCCCACGGAGACGGATGTCCAGTTCTCTGGAGGCGGAGCGACGTCTTTGGGGTCTAACTTCGGGTAAGGAGCGTAATCGGTGGAATGAGAGGCAGGTTGCTGATGCTGATGCTCCTGGTTAGTCTGCGATGGAGATTGCTTCGGCGGCTCTGCTTGATTTCCATCCTCTTTGTGCTGCTGCGGCTCCATGATTGACTACTTGTTTGGATCAACTGGAGAGGAAGACGAAGAAGAAAGGACAGGAAACTGCTTTGGGTTATCGGGAAGAAGACGGTTGAGATCAAGAATTCGAAATCGGACTCTGCCGATCAAATTCGTGGAGGAGTTTTCTAGAAGCAGGGTCGGAAGTATTATAGGATTTATTTTTCAGATGCCGTTGCTTGTCTTCTCAGCTGTTTCCACTTTATCAAACTTAAATTTGATGGGTGGGCAAAAATTATCCGAGCCGAAAAATTAGCCAGATGATTTTGGTTAAATGGTTTTTGGTCATAAAATTATTAGTTTGGTTAGGGCTGAGCATTTGGAAACTAAACCAATGGGTTATTTGGAAACCAAACTAAAAAAATGAATTCAGTTTGGTTTCAATGGTTTTTGGTTTTTATTATTTCGATTTTGATATTAACAAAATAAATTTTGATTCGATTTCGGTTAACCTTTTAAAAATCAAAAACAAAAAATAAATCTTTTAAAAATCGAAATTAAGATAAATATAATAAAATATGATAAAATATAATTTATTATTAAAAAAATAATTAATTAATATTTAT